TGTCCATGAGAGGCTACAAAGAGAAGCCAGCTCAACACTTTGTCTGCACTGCCCCCCCCCCCCCTTTCTCTCTCCAGTGGCAGGTCGTTTCAATAAACAACAGCACTGCAGCTCATACAGTACAGCTTTCCTTGACCACACTAGTCTGCAAAGTACAGAGGAAGTTACAGGTTAGTTTTGTTTTTGTGAAAATGAATCCCCAATTTGTATGCAGAGAGAATAGTTTGAGTCGTGGCATTCATTGTCATAGAGCATGTTAGTGCACAAAGTTGTTTAGCAGCTGCTTGTTTGTGTTTGTGTGACAATAAGACATATATTTCAAGTTAGAACATTTGTGCCATTATTTCTTAAGGAGGGAGTCACTGTGCTTTCTCCTGCAGGTGCATCATGAGCCATAGCAGCACACGCTATATAGATTTTTCAAAATCAATGTAGCCTGTGCAAAAGTTTAGTAAAAGCTGAACTATATTGAACTTTCACCCCAATTGTGCTGACCTTCTCAATGACTGTCCAATGGGATTCAGGCCTCTTAAAGAATGGCAGAAACATTTTCTAAGCATTCAAGGTTAGCAAATGTATATTTTGATTGCTACAGAGCTGCTCTTTGTATCGCGCTCTACCTCAAGTAAACTTTCTGACCTTGTCTTTTTGGTCGGACAGTTTGTGATTCAACAAGAAAGAAGAAAAGAAAAGAGACTCATTCATTCTCCTTCAATCCAGCACTAAACCTGTGCTTACAGTATACTGCATCTGCAATGACTAAGTGTTGTTTGGGTGCAGTTCTCGTTAAGTTATATGATGGGCTATTAAGAATTATAATAGTGATACATTTACACGACATTTATTGGTGTGATAACATATGGTTGGACTGTGTTATTTTTTAGATTTTTTCAATTAACTCGTAACCTCTATCTGTGTGTTTTGGTCATTAAAACAAAAAACCTTTCAAATAATAAAGAGATGAATTTGAATGATTTGTATATCCTTTTAATCAGACATTTTGACAGCAAAGGGATAATAATGATGTTTTAGTTGGCTTACCCATACCATACCTTTACCATACCTTTACGTACAGTATGTTCAATATTAATGTTATTTTCTGGCAATAGTGTTGTCAAATCATATCAGTACTGAGTGGTTTCTTGTATATTTTCTAAAAACACTTGCCAATATCTGCACACGCTTTTGAACAATGATCCTACACAACGATTAAAAAGAGTTTAGAATAAATGTAGCATGAGTGTCCCTTCTACTGTACGTGATGCAGACGTGTGAATCACACCAGTACTTGCAGTGGTGAGCTGGAGTAAAAAGGACATAAAGAAGAGTTATGGCTCTATCTCTTGCATGGTGTTTCTGTCTCTGGGGGAGCAGCTACGTGAGAGAGACCTTTTAGTGCTGACACATGCCTGAGAGCCTTTAAGGTTGAGGGGAGAGGATATTATGTTCCTGAAGTATGACTGCAAGTACAAACACTCCTGAGCAAATGATGGCAGAGATAATGACTGCTGTGACTGCTCAGTCCCGACATGCTAGTCTCAGTTTGTTCAGCCGTGGGTGTAGCTGTGGGTGAAATGCGCTTGATGTTCCTCTTGTAATGCCATGCACGGGATGTCGTCTATATGAGCCCCTGGAGGGTCGATTCATATTTGCACCATTTAGGCGTGATTGATTTGCCACTCAGGGTACGCCTACAGCGTTCTGAGTTTGTCTCTGCATTGCGAAGAGAGCTGTTGGTTTTATGAATAGATCTGATATGCGTTTGTCAATAATTTGAATCAGAAAATATCCACTGCCAGGGCCCTGAGTGTGTGTGTGAGCACCTTGTGAGTGTCTGTGTGTGCATTAATGGTTGCACGTCTGAAAAAGTATGAAATGCATGATTAGTTGTTCTTGTTAGAAATGTGTTAATAGATGGTAAATAGGTGTTTGGTTAAGCTTTAAGATGTGTGTGTGTTGATCGGGAAAGCACACTTCAAGATGGAGGAAAACACTTTCAGAGAGCTGTGCTGTATCCTCTACATCACAGTGATATAGCAACAAACCATCTTTTCAGAATATTGAGATTATTCAGGATGTTTGCTGCTTTACTGCATCTTGGGGAAATGCACTGATGTGAGCTGAGTGATTGTGTTGATAAAGCTGCAAAATATGCAAAGAAAGATTCATTTTATGACTTTTTCAGGTTCTGTTGATTTTGACTGTTGTTGATATTGCAAACAATAAAGACCACTGAAAAGTTATGGCAATTCTACTTTAAAGCCCTCAGAGAAAGCTACAGAACAACTGTCTGAGTGCACTGAAACGCATTTTGGTTGAAATTGTTGAAAAAGATGACGGACATGTCAGCAGAGGTAGCACAAATGTGTTGTTTTTAAAGAAGGATCCTGTTGTTACTGTCTAGACATGCGTGTCTTTTTTTGGCACAATATTTTTGGGAGTTTTGAGAAGTGATATGATAATAATAAGAGTAAAGCAACAGGTTATCTTTTTCTACAGAACAGAATTTCTGTATTTTGCAAATATGTTTTGTGTAAACCTCATGCGATCATGGACAGAATGTTAAAATATGTTATATCTGACCCTGTAACAGTTTCTGTTTCTGTATGAGGATTTGAACATGTTTGGCAACACATGTTTATCATGTTGTAAAAAGTGAATCCCATTATTCCACTTCCATTAAACTGTCCGTGCTTTAATAAAGACTGCATTTGAACCTCATACACAATACAGCCAATCGTTCAATTATAAAAATGTTTAAACCCTTTACTTTGTGAGCCCTGTTAAAGTGTCAAACCAGACTGTAAACATCTACATGTCTTCACCCCCCACCCTTTTAATTCACTCCTTTTTCAACTAAATCCATGTTCATCTTTGTCATTTTTTCCAACAAAGTAAAAAAAAGACCTTAAATGACGAGGAAGAGCCTGTGTAACCGGGGTGGTTCATATCAATAATTCATGACCATTAATCAAATGTAAGAGACAGTTTTCTAACTACAAATTGTTGCAGCATTGTGCAAGGCCATTTCTCATCTCATCAGACAAAACCTCTTGATGCAGCTTGTGCTGTTTTACATATAATATCTATTATCTTTTCCTATTATTCTGTCTTTCTTTCTTTCTTTCTTATCCTCTTTACTTTTTCTGTCTAATCCTAAATCATTTGAAGGACTCACGTATGGCAAATGACACTTCCTTTCTGTACTATTGTCTTCCTCCCCGTTATTCTCTCTCTCTTTCTTTCACTTTCTTGATAAATGTTACATCGAGCATAAATATTTTATTGACACATGCAATTTTGATAGGGACGCCACCATCTTTTCGGGATACAGTATGTAGGCCTAATTGTGCCATGTGCACTTCTCTCTCCTACTTTAAAGGGGACCTATCATGCAAAATGCACTTTTGTACGTCTTTTATAGATGAATATGTGTCCCCGGTGTTCCAGGGAACTCACCAAGTGTCAGAAAACACAACCTTCTCTATTTTCCTCCATACCCAAATCTCTAAAAAAGGGGCTGCAACGGATCTGATAAAAACTGATCCAGATTTGAACACTGTCCTGACGTCAGGACGGTGGCGCTACGGCGTTTGGGCCAACTCCACCAATCAGGAGGAGACAGCCACGGCCATTGCCGTTCGAAAGCGCTGGAGACGCTGTAGTACATATGCCAGGCCAGTAGATGGTGCTGTTCTCACTGAATCTGCCCTTGCAAAAACAGAGCTAAAAGATTTCAAATTGAGCAAAATGAGGCATGGCTAAAATGCATGATCTGTTTGGTATTTTGAATATAAATATGCCTTATATAGGTATGGTCCTACACTATATTATTCAAATATAGCATGATATGTCCACTTTAACACAAAGGGGTAGAGAGCAGGAGAGAGAGAGAGGAAGAGAGAGAGAGAGAGAGAGGAGAGAGAGAGAGAGGGAGAGAGAGAGAGAGGGGAGAGAGAGAGAGAGAGAGGAGGAGAGAGAGAGAGAGATGTACTGTAGTACTGTGTTTCTCTTTAAAGATTTGAACCTAAATATAAGCAGGTAAGCCGCTGCAAACTTGCTCATCTGTGAAAGTGTTTCAGACACACCTGCCGGTCCTCTGTCTAATTCCTCTGTGAACATCATCGCTGCCTTGTTGATTAGTGATGTTTTATAGTGTTTGTCATACAGCCGACAGTCATTTCATAAAGAAGCTTTACAGGGTCTGAGCGGAAAACAATCTTTGAAAAACAAATAAAATATGCATATGATACTTTTGACAACATTTGACAACCACATCATGTCACCACTCTGTGATTCTTTCCTCGATTTTTGTCTTGTGTTTAACACATTGTGAAATGTGAACAATAATTAGCAAAATTGTATTGTATACAACACAGTTTGTAAAGACTTACATCTTAGTAGTGTCAAATTAGTGTAGTAATGACAAACTTTCATTCAAAACCATGATAACTAAATGTGACAGAAAAACAATATTTGTTCCTTTCCATCAGTAACATAGTATTTTATTCAGCAGCTAGTGCATTATGAGTGACTTAATTTAATTATTGTAACTAACTGATTTGCATTTACAAATATTTATTTTCCTTTCATTTTTATTTTTCTTATTACATAATGCATGCACAGACACATATATCATTCATTCCCTTAACTGTAACCTCGCAACTCAACTCAATGTCATGCATAATTTTACCCCAACCAAAGTATGTTCTCAAATCCACATTTCAGACAAATCCGGAAATCATATAGGTAACCAACCCTGAAATTAAGAAAAAGAAAAAAGTCTGCATCTGCAAACTATTTTCTCTGCTATTCTGTGGTCCTTTACACACACATAGTTACACACACAACCGCGCATGCATGCACATACAGGTGTCGCTTTTTTGTGGGATTAATCCGCAGATGCAGCCTCACCGCATTTGGCGCGCAGCAGCTGACGTCAGGAGCGGAGCGGAGTGAGGGGAGTTGAAATAGGGCAGAGCAGGAGAGCAGCGCTGAGAGGAAAAGCAGCCGGAGGAGCTGAAGGATGGCGAGCCGTTGCTGAGAGTTGGGACACGCTACCCGTCGCTTCAAACACAGCTGCTTCTGATACACCAGCCCGTAATTAATCTGAAGCCTTTAAACCCTGCCGAGAGAGGAGTGGAACTAAAAGTGCGCAGTTGTGTCTCGTCGCTGCGAGGAAGATCTCTGGCATATTTGCACGAATTTCCTTTCCTTTCTGCCCTCTTGCTTTGGAATACCACAGGTAAGGTGCAAGCTGTATTGCCTTATGCGGGATAGGGGCTCCACGGTCCTTTAAATACGTTGTTAATGTATTTGACAAGTTTGGTTGTTCCGTGTGCGCAACGCTGTATCCGTCACTATTTGCATTGGGACTGTGAGTGAATGGAAACTGTAAAGAGGGTGGCAGTTGTGTGCTTTAATGTTGAATTAGTTTGTGAGTAGCTGAGGAGAAATGCATCAATAATAGAGAGCGAGCCCCACAATTTACAGGCAGAAAGATATGTGTGAGGTGCAGCCTCATAGCGCAGGGCGATGTCAATGACAGTCTGTGACAGTGTTTAACTACACTGCCTATTGTGTGGCGCAACACGGGATGTGATTAATCATTCAATATGACCAGATGCCAGCTTTTGGTAGCCTCATAAAGCCGTGCAGGGGCTATACCTGCTCGGAAACAACAGATAGTGTTTGATGAATAGCTTCAGTAGGAGTCCTCTGCCCGGATGTGCCAGGGTTGCTCAAGCAGCAGAGGGGCTGAGATGATAACATAGTGAGACACGCACATCCCTCGCCGGGCTCTCTGGCATGAAATCCAGGTCCCAACAACCCCCCTCCTCACCCGGTCCTCCTGCCTCTTTTGGCTGGCAAGACTTCATCTTTTAACGATCAGTGTGTTATAAAGCATACACCCCCTCATCCTACTCAACAGAAACTCTCAGGAATGTAAAGAAATTCCTAAACAAGACGAGATTTTCTTGTCTGATTGTGTTAAATGAGCTGGTTCAGCGCTCTCTCATGGGAAAATCCTATCAGTGTCACCAGAGAGCTGGCACAGCAGCAGCAAAGCCTCCGTGACGGCCAGCGGAGTGGGAAATGAGGATTGGTCACCGCGCACGCTGCCGTGATACAGCGCATATTGCGCCGGAGCTCTCCATGGTGCTGAAAACGCTCCAGCCTCTTGCTGCCATACTGCACTCCTCACCTTCCCCGCCAGCCCAGCCTATCGTTCCTTGGTTTGTTGAATTACCTCTCCACCTGGAACCAGATATGTGGCTCACACTGTTGAATGGCCCTAATTGTGTTGCTGGATGTTTCCAGCAACACAATTAGGGCCATTCAACAGTGTGCTATCTGCGAAAAACTGCTTGTAATTCCTAGCTTTCAGCTTTTGTGAGAGCCAACAACCCCTTTAACTCTCCACTCAGGCACACACAAACACACATAGCAGACACACATCCGAGCACAGGGAGAGCTCTGGATCAATGTCTTGCCCTTGCTCCTGAATGAGAATATTAATGGCAGCTGTTCTCAGTTGGACCTGCAGTTTGCACCAACATAAAACCTCAAGGGGTTTACCTGGTCATTCATTGCAGGGGGAAATAAACCGGCAAGCCATCAAATGTGACAAATGATCACCGGAGGAAAAAGTGACAGTCTGTGTTCATGGAGTAAATCAACAGTTTGATTTATTGTGTTTTTCAGAGCTAAGAATCCACTGCTAATCACCACTGAGGTTACTCAACTTCAATTAAAGGATGATTAAACAATGGATAAGAGCCTTACAGCACATAACCCAATATTTGAACTACATTAAGTCAATTTTCCAGCTTTGTGACTTCTGTGACTTTTTTTAGTCACATCATGTCCTGAACCCTGTCCCATCAATTCTGCAGCCCACCCTGGGGTCACAGTCAGCGGGTTGATAAAATAATGATGTGGCCCAGAAAAGTGACTCAGTCGGGCTTATTACAGTCCGCAATCTGGTGTGTAACTTATTAGCTGTCTCACAGAGAGCCATTACAACGCGGTGTCCAGCAGATTATGGCTGCGTGTTGTGCTTCAGCCTAATAGTGGGATGACTCACACACTTACAGATTGACGCTGAAGACACACGAGAGCCACATTGGAGTATGCACACACACACACACACACACACAGATAAATGCACACAAGTAACATTTTTTACTTCCCCACGCTTAGCATTTAAAGGGCTAGAAACGACTACAGTAGCAGCATACGTGAATTGATGCATGTGTGCAGTGTGTCATGCATGTTAGTTGGATAAAGCTACATATTTCAAGAATAGCAGTAAAGGTCTGATCTTCCGAGGTTCTACACGCTTCCACAGATCTTGCATGTGAGGATATTCTTAGTGCAGCAGTCTATTTAACTATGTCTTCTGGCTAGATTTAGACATATTAACATAAGCAAGTCATTTTTTTGACAGAGTACAATCTGACGTGAGCTTTCTCTATATAAGAAACTGTTAACTTTGTCAGTACTCGATTTGGTGTTCAGATTGGATGACTGGATTTCGAGTTTCTAGACTTTTTTGTCGGAGTTGAAAAATAATGTATGCACATACAAATTAACAGTATCCCCTGGCTTGTTTTGAAATCAATGTAATAACATGATGAGTGTCTTATTGTTATTGTGTTATTGATCCCAGCTTGTGAAAGGTCAGAGGTCAGACTCAGTGTCATGCTCCAGGACATTTCAGCCGACTGAGGGCTTTCTACCATACAAAAACAAGTTGTACTGGAAAAAGGATACTCTCTCTACCCACTTGACTTCCCACTTGCTTCTCCCAGTTGTTTTGTATTTTAAAATATGTTCCTGAAGTTGGCAAAGGTCTAGCATTTAGGTCACTATTAAGGTTACGGAGAGTAAAAAGGCTGCGGGACAGAGTAGCATTTCGATAATTCTTACTCCTGTTCTCCGTTTCATAGCAAGTAGTGGCCGGAGAAGAAAAATCCTTTCTTGCGCAAGTTTGATGCCAATCTTCTCTGTGAACATACAGGCCAGATGGCAAAGCGTAAAGGGCTTGCTACTAAGCATATTAAATGCAACTAAGGCTAGAAAGATTCAGAGCACATGCATATATTTACCATGGTAGATATTTGGAATTTCAAACATTTATGCTTCGAAGGTTTTTTCTTTTTCTTTTTTCTCACAGAGTACGACCCATTCTTAAAAAATAAATAAATTCAAGGTATATTTTGCATGCTTTATACAATTCACATATAAAGAGCCATGGATGACAAGTCCATATAAGATTGAAGAAGAATAAATTACATTTTTCAATTATAATGCCCCTCTCATGAACAGTTGAAATGCCTGGCATCACAGCGCCTGAACCCCATGCAGAGCTTGTCTAATCAGGAACAGGATTTATTTCCACACAACAAAGCCACCCCCCTCGGGTAAACCAAACCCACTTCCTCCCCTTTTTTTTCTTCTTTACGCTTCGTGACTTTGATTTGTTTAGCTTTGCAAGTGTTCCAAAGAAGTATAATGAGCCATACTCCAAAACAAAGGTAAAAATGCATTACAGATGGTGAGTCACACTCTTCTGAGCTGGTGCTTTCGCCATACGCTCACATCCTGATCACAAGATTAGTTTTAAATTGAACTGATGAAACTCGAACTGGTGGGTTAAGCTGGTCCACACTGGCACTCACACACACTCATGACCAAGGAAGTATTACATGATTAACATGAGGCATGTGACAATGAGGAGCACTTCATATAAATGAGACTGAAACTGAGGGGCACCAGTTACTCGCACCATTACATTCTGTATCCTTTTTAATCCAGAGACATATTGCCGTGCCCGTCAGATCACCCGAGGAGTGCTTTGTACTCCCTGCAGAGAGCAGAGCCACAAAATGTGGGCAACACGGTTCACTTGAAATTCCGATCACTATTGTTGAACTTCTAGAAATGACCTTTACCACCGCATCCCATAGGAACACAGCAGCTGAGCTCGGAGCATCAGCAGCGCAGCTCTGAGCAAAGAGTGCTCGCTGCATCCTCTGCCTGAATGGAGGAAACTGACGAAAAAGTCAGTCGAGAGGGAGAAACGAGCTGGAGGTTACAGAAAGGTCACCAGAAAATATAGTTTTTTTCTGCAGTGAAGTCAGTCTGCCATCTGCCTGTCCCCCACTGCACTTATTTGAACTTTATAGAAATGATTTTGCTTTCAGTTGTGACGTCACATCTGGAAAGGTGGTGTGACTCAACACAAATGTTACTGCAATCATTTCAACATGTCTTATGCCTCCTGTTTAATGAATACATATCAGTGTGACTGTGAGGTTGAGTAATCAATATGATCAGCTTCGTTAGTTGCAAAGGCAAAATGATGAGAGGAAATACCTTCGAGATGCAGTGAATACAGGACAATTATATTTAGAACGTTTGTTTTGAAGTTCTCTGTAGAAAGTGTTCAAAAGCTCTAAGAATTCAAGGTGCTTATTATTTTCTCATACATACTGCGCCCAAGGTCACACATGAACTTGTGCCATATGTTTAACTTCATATTTTAAACAGTATCTTAAAAAGGATGGTCCTATTTTCACTGCCAAATACATCTTGGTGGTATATGACTGTTTGGCCTTATTTGCCACTTTTCATTTTGGCTGAAATGATCAGATCCTTGAGCAACATAACACTTATAACACCTATTTAAGATACACCGTTCCACTCTGTTAGATTTGGTAGGAAATCTCATATCACAAAACAGAGAGATGACCCTGTTCTTTCACCGCAAACTGAGAAAAAAGAATCTAGAAGTTCTGCCCAATTATATAACAAGTAAAGGTTTTGAAGCCTTCTTTTAAGGTTCCCCTTGGATTTACTAATTTGGCTTTATCCCTTGAAACCAGCTTTTCTGATATTTTGACTTTAAAAAAGTTGGATTTATGATTTTATTTGAAACTTGCGCTGAAGTAGGACACACATGACAACCACCAGCCTGTCAAAGTAGCAAACTCATCACCAAACAAACCCCTCCGTGAATCTTAATATATAACTATCTTGCTACAAAGTCTAAATAGTATTGGCAAAAAATATTTATAACTTTAAATCTGTAGAGACTAAGTGTGGGTTTCTCATTCACTTGACTATCGTTGGCACTATCTTGATTGATGATGATTACAAACCACATTGTGCCTCTGAAAAGCCATTTATGCTTAAAAGGGTGTTTTTCGATTTGTCGCACAATACAGACATCCTTCATGT